TTGTGAATGATATAATAAATACAATATTTCTAATAATGCATACGAATATATTCTTTCTTTAAATAATTATGCTATATTTGTAGATAAATGTCAATGTAGATGACTGAAAGAAAGTACATAAAAAAATAGTTAAATTATTTAACTTAAATCTGAAGTATTTCAATTTTATTGTCTTTCAAAACATTATATTTAGTTGAGAATATATTATTTATTTTATTCTAATCATGATAAACATCTTTGAAGATTTGTTTTAAAAAAATCAGAGTTATCAAGGTGTATTATACACAATGCTGATAAAATTTATAAGCATATTATACTTTTATTATAAACTTTAGCAATATAAAAACTGAAAACTCGTTATATTTTATATTCATCATGATCAAAGTATGTAGTTGTTCCATTTGTTGTTTCCAATATTTCATCCATTTGCATGTACTAATTAGTGGTCCCTACTTTCCCCTCCCCTGCAATGCAGGAACTAGTAGCTATACAACAATACCGAGGAGGTCTATTCAGCCAGGGGCTAGATCGTCAGTTACCCACATAGCATAGCCTGCCATAGGCCATATTTTTAATAACATACTGAACTGATGTTTACACAATGTGACTTATAATATTTATAATTTTAAATAATAATATTTTGAAATGGGAAAGATAAGGTTACATTATACACAATCTGTTTTCCATTCAATTAAGTTAATTCTTTTGTTACTTAAAACCCCCATTACTTGTACAAATTTATTTATATTATTTTGGCTCTTATAAATGTATACAAATTATTTTCTTATAGTATATTATAAAATTAATTTTTTATTGTAGAACAAAGAAGGGATTATTGTTTGCAATTAGAAATTTTGATTATTTCTTACTCATATTTTTTATTGCAGAAAACATTTTATAAACTCAGCTCAGTTATAAATGAAAAATATTGGCCACAAAAGTACTTTGGTCGGTATGAGTTATGGGGGTAGCATTAGACTGCTTCCGAGTACATATACGATGCTAGACCTTGGTGGGATAGCACAACCGTAGAGGTTCCTTGTGTAGCGGCGACCCACCCTCTTTTTTACAGTATAATCAAGGAGGCTTCCAAGGTTCCCAACCCGCTTCTAATCAGCAGAGCAATTATAAACAAGGAAGTGCACAAAACGTACAAGCGTTTAAGCAACAACAACAACAACAAATTCCATCAAGAAATTTACAACAAGGGAAATCCCAACCGCAACAGCAACAACAACAGCAGCAGCAGCAGCAGCAGCAGCAACAACAACCACCTCCACCACCGCCACAGCAACAAATAAAACAACCACAACAGCCTATTACAAGTTCATCTCAAATTCAATCGCAACCTCAATCTCAACCTCAACCTCAACCAGTTCCACAACCACAATCTCAACAACATCAACAACAATCACAGTCTCAGACTCCAACACAACTTCAATCTCCAGCCCTACTTCAACGATTGAAGCCAATTTTGAAACAAATATCCCATACACAGCAGCAGGCTACACCAGCTGTGCAAAGTAATCCTGTTCCATCTTCTCAACCACCAATACCTACTCCAATACCTCCAACATCTAATTCTAGTCCTACGGCACCATTAACAAATAATGCGTCTGAAACAAAGAGTGAGAGTCAAGCATCTGAGAATACTGATGCTGAAATGCAAGAACAACAACCAAGATGGAGACGCAAATTACCTGGGTGTAAGTACTCTCAATTATGTTATTATTCTATTACACTAAGAGATAATAAAATATTCTGTATTTTGAATTTTTTTTAAATATCAAAAAAGTATATTTACAATTGAAGTAAATATAAGTTAATTATTAAAAATACGTTTAATTGTGGAACTTCAAATTTTTTTGCATTCAATTGTATTAATTTGTTATGCTGATGACAATTCACTGCGCAAATTTGAAAATTAGAATTGCTTAATGCTCCAATATTTTGTTGAGTTATAGCATTTTTAATAATTTGTGAACATTAATTTACTGATACTTTTTAAAAAAAATATAAGGTTTTTATACATCTTTTACTTTTATGTACTAAATGAACTTTATCAATTTAGTTAGAGTAAATAAACGACTCAAGCGACTTCGTTTGAATCAACGTTTAAGGAAAACGTTGCAACCAAAAAATGCAATTATGGTACTAAATGAAATGAAAGCTGGGGTACAGTTTACATTTCCTGAAACTCAGGGAATGCCGAATTCACTTTATCTTGTTCATGCAGAGGTACTTAAAATATTGTATTCCTATTTGTATATTAACACATTCGCAATCACTGGCGTGAATTCACGTCTTTTCAAACATAATAACTTTTAAATAACAGATCGTCGCAAGACTAATATTTCAAAACAAATTTTCGAATTTTTGTCTCTGTTTTAACGTTAGAGATTTTCCGCAATTAGCTTAAGATTTTTTTCATTTTCTCTAGCAATGAGAATTAGAAAAGCAAAAGATTTTTCGGTCGTGAATGTGTTAATAACGCTATCAGTGTTTTAAAATTTATTATGTTAAAATTTATTTTAATAAATACAATTCTACCTCTTCTCTAGTATGAAGTATAATTAACTGATTATTAACTTGATATTATTGATAACAGCTTGACGGAAAAACCTATGTTGGACAAGGATTGTCTAAGCCACTTGCTCGACAAAATGCCGCGGAAAATGCATTGAAAGCTTTATTACTTGAAAAAATGACAGCAGCATCTCTTAAAGCACGTATTGATGCTGAATCAGATGGACTAAATCAATCAACAGATTCATCGAGCGTATCGAAGGATGATAATAATGAAGAAGGTGGAACACCTATGGACACTACTGTTGATGAGAGTGATGAAATTCCATGGAGTTCTTTGGCTAGTTTTGCATTATATAAGCTTTTCCTGGAGTGGCATAATCAAGGAACATCAGTCCCCGTTTCAAGACCTGGATTACCATCTCCTGTTAAAGGAGTTAAAAAAGAAATCGCTCATGTTCCAAAGACTCCAGTTCAGAAAGAACTCCCACCGAATGCTACAAACATACACCCTGTAATGTTATTAAACCAAATGAGACCAGGTTTAACATACGTAGAATTGAATCGCGTTGGTAATCCACCAAACACAATGTTTACTCTTGCTGTAGAAATTGACGGTATTGAATACACAGGAACAGGTAATATATTACATATATACTATGATCAGAGTCATTTATAACAATAAATAATCAATTGCGTTTACGTAAATTTACATATAAATAACAAACATATATTTCATAATTTTAATTATTGGTTTATTAAAGAATTATGTGTATATTACAGCAAAAAACAAAAAAGATGCCAAGAAAATAGCTGCGAAAGCAGCACTGTTAGCCTTGTATGGTTTAAGCTACCCAGATGAAACTAAGTCAGTTCTGCAAGATATTACAATGGCTTAAAATAACAACATTTGAACAAAATTAATAATTTGAATTTTAATTTGATCACTTCGATTTATATATATTGTGTGAATTACTGCGTATTGCAGAAGAGATTCTAAAACTCGAATAACCTGCAATAATAACATAAGAACTTTTCAATTTATATTTATAAATATATAGAATTCATGTACACATATATCTATATGTATAATATTCATTGTCTATAATATTAAATATTTAAAGAGTATTCTTTCTTATAAATGACATGTTATGTCTAAATAATGATAATGTGTTTAAATGGTTATCTCTTTTATTAAATGTAACATCTTATATAAGATTCTAGTAACATAGCAAAAATGTTTAAAACAAAAGTTTATTGATATTAATTGAAAAAGTGGTTGATATCAACAAAATTTTTAAAGTATCTTCCATGTGTAAAAAGTAAATGTTCTTACACTAAATAGAAAGATAAATTCAGTAATACAACTGAGGCCAAATATGCATTATTTTAATTATTTCTTTAACCCACTCACGCAGAAAAACGAGTCAGACTCGTGTTATACAAAATGAGTGCTGCACGAATGGGTTAAATAGTTTAATTTGTACCTAATGTACAAATCAGATAAAAATTGCATGCTTTCTAACTTTGGATTATATCAATAAATTCATCATTTTATTTCAATGAACTTTTGATTAAAATACTTTTTGTTATGTTACTAGATCTAATTCGACTGACTCATAGTTCAGTTTGTATCCATTAATACTTTGACCGCCACGTTACCCACAT